GAAAATCAAAGAAACTTCGATATTATGTTTTTTGTTATGCTTTCTCTCTCAGAGCCAATTTGATGGTAGTGTTCAAATTAGATATTTTAAACTTAAAAAGCGTGGTTGGTTAAGACGGCGGATGGATGCAATATGTGGCGAGCTACGATTTCAATTTCAAAAGGACTATCAGAATTTTCTAAAAAAAAAAAAAAACTATTTACAATTAACCTGAAATAAAGTTCAGGGAATTTCTGCAGTAAATGAAGTAAGAGAAACATTGAACTGGCAGAAAAAACATGAATGACCATTAAAAGTCAGCTGTTAGAAGAGAAAGGATGGAGGAAGAAAGTTTAAGATTGAGAAGTTTCCGACTGCTGTAAAAAGTTACATGATTGGATTAGCTGCTCTACTCTTAAGAGCCGACGAATTAGAAGTAAATAAATTTGAGCCAAAGTTAAAATATTCCCACATAAAGAATATTCAAGTGATAGTTTGATATAATTATCAAGAAGAACTAATTGTAAGTATTACTACCCAATTTTGCAGGCCAAAATGTTGATCAAAATTTTCTGGAATACCTAAAATTAACCTGAAGATTGAGTTAGTAGAAGACGGGAGAGCAAAATTGAGGGTAAAATGACATGGGATCAAGTTGACTGGAAAGAGTAATGATTAAATACAGTTACATACAAACAGGTGATAAACTATGATAGAACATTTATGATTTAAAAAAAAAATAAATAAATAAAAAATAATCAAGTAATGTATAGAAAACTGTCAATGAGTAATCATGTAAATTTCACCTTTATTTCATTACCGGAAAGATATTATTAACCGTTGCCCACACAGCATGCACTGTTCCTGTTCGTTTTTGATGCTTAACAAGATGAAACGATACCATCACTTTAAAACGACTTCTCACTGGAGAAAACTGCAAGCCAAATTTTAGCGTGAAACAGAAGCTATCATAATTACACTATACATTAGCTGCAATTCATCTGTGAGCATTTTTCTGAGACAAGCTCCCAATACCAACGGAAATGCGTCAATATTTACAAGATGACATAGAGATGAAAGTAGAATTTTGATAAAATCCTAATTTTCTTCCTTGGATTTCAATACTCTCCTCCCGGTGAGTTAAGATAAAGTCAAGTTGAGGATAGTTCTGATCATACCCAGACTGCTTTTATTTTCAAAACATCGTGTAATACTTCAATTGGGTCCTCAAATAATAAATATTAAAAAATTAGAGCCCAAACATTTTAAACAAGCTCTTCTTGTGGTGTTCCAAAAATGGATTTATAAATATTAAATCACAATTGAAGGGTTGGTCCAGTAGAGATTACCACTCCTTATATTATGTACTATCTAAATATTGACGGTGATACCTGCTACTGGACCACATATCTCGGTTTGCAATGTTGCAGACTTCCTGTCATACTTCACTTTTTAAATGGAAAACGACTCAATGTTTATTCTTGAAATTTCCATAATTTTTTTTCTGTGCGAAGAAAATTCTGTGAAAACTTCAAGGTATGATACTGATTTGTTCTCCTTCAAAAAATAAGATGGGAGTGGAAATTTTTTAATACTGCTAATGAAATACATGGTCTGGTAGTTTCACCGTCAATATATAATGTCTGGAGCGTAGGTAGGCATTTGCAAGAATCATAATCCACCAAAAAGTTAGACTTAAATGATAAAATTTATCGTAAAATTTTATAAAAAAATTACAGTGTACTCCAAAAAGCTATGATTGGCTTTCTAAACTTAGAGTCAACTGATAAAAATACTGATGTGAGATCGGTTTTGGTACCTACTTGAGTTTGATCATTTTGTTAAACTGATTACTGCCTTGAAGATTTATTATAAGCTGATTTTTCTCACAAAATAACAGGGAAAAGTGGACAAAAATATGGAGGAGGTTGCAAAAAGTTCTGAGACTCATAAAAAATTTTAGACTAAAGTTAGGAGTGGTAGAGGCTTAGATGTGAGTTAAAAAATAAGATGGATGATTTTTTACGCTTACATGTTAAAAATACACACGCTTTTGAAAGATACAGCAAGATTGATCATTAAAATTAGCGATGTGAGGATCAATTGGGGTGAAAAAGAAAACTTGATAAAAGACATTAATAAATGATCAACTAATGAAAAACAAAAGAGCAAGCTTTGGAATCGAACTCACGGAACCTCCAACTGAAAAAAATCCATTCTACAAATTCCACAATTAATAATCATACAGTTATTATAAATTTGATCACCAACGACTCTAATTCAGAAAACACTTAAACGGAAACTGATTATGAATTAACTTACGTGCATACGGACAAAATAATATGAAAATAAAACAATGGAGGGAGAGGGCGCTGAAAATAGCAGTGACTAATAATGAAATTGGAAAAAACTTGCAAAATAATTTTACAAAACGTATTTTCCGTAAGAAATGGTGAGTCTAAAATTTCAAAAAGCCCTGCGATACCTGCAAATGGAGAAATTCTCCAAGAAAAGAAATAATTGAAGTTAGCATAACTTTTACATCATTTCTCATTCAAAATGTTAGACTTTATTCGATTTATTTTAAAATCTACTTAAGAGTTGATAGAAGTTACGTACAAAGTTGCATCAGAATTACTTATAAAAATTGGCTGAGGGTCCAATCAAATTTTCTCTTAAGTCTCTCTTAGACAAAAAAATTTCTTAAAAATAAAAAATATTAATAATAAGAAGAAAAACAACTAAGGGATTGAATTATTTTTCAGCTTGAAAATGCGAGAGTTTCCTAATCCATGGACAAGAGCACTTTTCCAAAATTTATTTATTTACGTGGATCAAGTTTTTTCACAACTGGTTTTAAAAGTCACTGCTCCTTGGGAATTTTGAAGTTACGACTATTTTATTTACAAACACATAAGATATACCAACAAAAATATACCACAGTCTAGACTCATTTCTACTTTTTGCAAGATGCACAATGCTTACTTCTCTACAAAATTCATAATCAGCCATAGAAAATTAATATTGATCATTTTAAATTACTGTAATAATGAAAATAAAAATAATCGTTGGCTACAGTAGTTGCGTAAAAATTTGGCCTTGCCCATCACACAAAAAGTTAACCTTTGATTTATTACGTAGATACAATTAAGATGGAATATGCAGTAATAATCTCAATGAGCTCAAGAAAGAGAATTTATCATTTCATACCATGCAAAATTTCATTGCTTTGGGGGTTTACCGTATATTCTGCTTTTTTTACTTATTTTAATTATTTTCATTCCACAATTCCTACATTTAAGTATCACTTTTCTATTAGTTTTTTCCTAATATCTTTCATTTTACTTTTTACTAATTCTTTCTAGTCCTCTTACCCTTAGCTGGACCTCTTCAGAGGAGTCTTGCACCTCAAAACGAAGATCTCTACCTTTACATTATCTTGTCGAAGATGAATCCTTGCACTATTCCGTTCTAAGTTAAATAAGAATTGACGATTTTATCAATTCCTGAAAAGAGCTGTGCTTAAAACTGTAAGGACAGTCTTACAATTTCTCCGCCACGATTTAGATAGGTGAGAAACATATTTGAAGAATCGTAATTCACTCCTAACCTCCCGACTCTCTAAATTGTTTTCTTTCATCCTTGTTTAGGACTGCCTTTTCTCCTAAACTTCCTGTTTTTCACACTACCTACAACAATTGTACCATGATGCTTTTATGAAGGTGTGGTTTGTAAGAACTAGATTTCCAAGGTTCAGAGTCGATGGTATGAATACAGTTTTCATCACTTTATGGAAGGTCGAAAAGATAACAAAGAGTTTTAGTATAGTTGAATGTTATACTGAGGCCTGAATGAAAGTTAAATTATTTCGTTCCTGAACAACAAAAATCAATTTAAGATGAAATCATTCGATACAACCTAACGAATCCTGGTAAAAAATAAAAGATTCAACAGCGGCCTGACAAAGGCTAAATGCTATCCTAATTATCAGATAGGAAAAAAAACAAAATAATAAAAATAAACAAACAAACAATGAAAATGTTAGTTTAAAAATAGTAGTGATTTCACTATCCAAACCAAAAAGTAGGAGAATTTTCTCTAGTTGGCTAAAATTGGTAAAGACAAGAGCCAAAGCGATAGAAAGAAAAAGAGCGACAAAAAACTTTCTCTTCATCTGAACAGGGATTGATGAGCTACTGCCAAAAATAAAAATTCTTAATGACGAGAAAACCCCCAAAAGAATTTTTATCAATGGTTAAATGAGATAACCTTAAAACAAAATCAGTTGAGAAGGGTTCTGATTCAAATAGGAGGGGCCGAGAGCAATATAACCTACCAAATCTAATTGGACAAAGAGGATGTAAAATTAAAATTTGTAAAATTTAATGTTAGCCTGTCTCAATACCCAATCTCTAAAACTTTTCTAATTATTGTTTTAGACGACGAGCAAAAAAATTTATGTTGATGATTACTTTTGCACCATGTGCTCATAGAAACACCAAAAGAAACACAAAGATACACTTCTGCCTAGTCTGATCGAAATAATTGAAAAATATCAGTTTGAAAAACTGAGGAACATTTCATGATAATAGTAAAAACGTGGAACATGATCAAAGGCTCCTGTTTTTGCAGAACTGTTTGATGCAATAAATATCTGCTTACAGCCAGAACTTTCAGCGAGTCTCTTCCATTTATTCGAAAAAATATGAGCATTTAAAAATAATTGCTATTAATTTTCCAGGCAAGAAATATTGAGGACCTCAAAATTTTATTTTATTTTCTTTGACTGATAACCATCTCAGATATAAGTTTTTTTGGGAATAGGAATATCATACCTGTAGGTTTTATTCTGAGCTCATAGGATTTTTTCAGATGTTTGAGTTTTTTTGAAAGCCATGTTTGACTTTAAAATTGAATGGGACGAAAACTATTTTTAAAAAAATTTAAAGTTTGAAAAAATGATTTGAAAAAAAGTAAAGATGTTATGGATAAAATTTTGAGAAAATATGAGTGTGACTTACTGAATCGACGGATTAAATTGGCGAAAGGAGGGTTGCTACTGCTGTTTGGGCGAAGTTTGCGGAGATCCCGTAAGGCATGATGGTACTTTATATTGGGAACCGACAGCAATCTTGTGTCTCTGGGTTGTTGAGCAGATTGTTTGTCCAAAGAAACTCTTTTGCGTTCTTTGCTCCTGGGCGGCCGAAACGGTTTCCCATTTTGGTCGAACAACTGAAGGTCTGTTGGCCTGATGGCATCAGTCTTATCATAGTCTCTCTCTTCTTGGATGCTATTTTTTTCACACCTAATTTTATCTTCTACACTAATTGACGGAATATTTTCACAGTTTAAGTCTGACATATTTTCTAAGCACAGCCTTTCTTCGCAGAAGTCTTCAGGAATTGAGTTATCGACATCTGCCGGAGAAACATTGGCACTCATTGCTTTTGACAAGGCAACCTCACTTTTAGCACCACTAGTGGAAGACTCTTTATCAGGATTCGTGCTAGAGAATGTATTTTTAATTTTTAGATCAACGCGGCTGAGTTGTTTTTTGAGGCTGAAACCTTTCCAGTGGTGAGGTTTATCACTTTTGTTCTTCTCTTCATTGCTTGTTTGCACCTTAGGTTCTTCGACGGCATTTGCCTCCTCGGCTGGAGGTAGTTCGTTGGTTGCGGAAACAATTTTATCATTTATTGACTTTGAACTCGAGTCAACGGTTGATTCATCATTGCATGAAGATAGGGCGTCCTCTCCTGTTTCAACATCTTCATTCGATAACGGTGAGGTGTTGGATAAACACACCTCGGGAGTTAAAGCCTCTCTATTTGCTTCTTCAAGTTGCTCCTTTGAATTGGTATAAAGCAAATTAATAAAAACACAAAAAATCACATTTTTCAAACTAGATAAATGCAATCAAGCTCTATTAGGGCTAGGGAAGATAAGCATTTAAAACCTAATTGTGGATGAGTAATTACACAAAAACATGGAATCTAAAGTCAAAACATTTTTAGGTTCCGGGGCATAAAATGAAAGGCACATTTAATGGAAGGGAAAATAATGTTTTCTATCGTTCAACTAAAATCAAAAAAAATGCCCAAGTTTTCTGGAGGACTCCAAACGACCAATATCAGTCCAGAAAAAAAAAATTTTTGAGGACAATATTAAACAGTTTGCACTATTACGACAAGAAATTTGATTACTACCATTTCGAGGAGATACGAAGAGATAGGCACAAAAGTGAGTTGAGCATTTTGATAACTTGTTAGAAAGGATACAAAATTTAAGGATAGTTGAGAAATTCTAAATGATATTCATCTCAAATTAAGAAATGGGTTACAGTTTTTGAACAGAATTTTAAAACTGGAGTACAGGGCTGAGAATATTCAGAGAACTTCTTAAAATTTCTGCAGAAAACCAAGAGCTTTTCACTCTATCAAGAAAGCAAGATAAAGTTTTCCAAAATGAATGAATGATCCAGAAATTAAAGTTTAGATGCGCAATATGCTGGAAACATCAGAAGTATGACAGACATATTCTACGAAAGCGTGATAAAATGCAAATGGAAGTGAGAATAACTTCAGAACTTGAAATTTAAAACGGTATAATATCCTATTAGGGCAATGAAAATATTGAGTCTTAAAACGTTGTCTGGGTAACTTATTCACCATTAAAAATACAGATACAATAAATGGTTCATAAATTTAGTGTACTGTGAAAATTCTCAATACATTTTTCCCCTGCATCCTCGATTCTAAAAAAATAAAGTTTCCTGAGAGAGTTAAATTCTATCAAGTCTTTTTCAGACCTACAGGTACTTAAACTCCACAAAGATTTACCCCCTCTTGCCTTGTTTGACTATTTTAATTCTCTGGAGAAAAAATGCAACCTGAATAAGACCAAAATCCAGAAATTTTGTGCGAATGTAATACACTCAAAGTGGTTTTTTCCCTCCAATGAAAAAGAGCATAACAGGGTTCAAAATCATCTAAGTTATTTCGAGAATTCAAAATGAGAGGATGAACTCAAAACGAAAGCATTTATACTGGTGACTGATGACTTTCCTTGAAATAGTGCTCGTAGATATTGCAATGTTTAAATACCTCCTTGGAATTTTCATTTTTTCATAAGGAAAGTAACTAAAATTTCAAGCAAAATTGCGAGTCAAATTTCTTTGAAAAAATAAAACATGACTGAAGACTTAAAATGTTACAATTGAAGATGCTTATTTTCCAACTGTAGCCATTCACAAGTTTCATGGCACAAACGGTTGTATACCACCGGTGGTATTCCCATGGCGATAAAAATAACTCAAGCTCGAAGTCATGAGATACCTAAAAAAATCATGAATTATTCCAGAGGCTCATTATTGTTGATTCAAGCGGCCCATCAAAGGACAGCAATAATACTGGCCATAGACAGTGTGCTTCTCTTTTATTAATTACTATAAATCTTTTCATCACAAAAGAACAAATGAGATGTAGTGTACGAATGTATAGCCTACAACTCATTTAGAATGTTATGATTTACAACCATACGCTAGATTATTAGGGCTGAAAACAATTATCAGTACTCAATTTTTCTGGCTGACATTTCTTGTGTTGCTTCATTTTGAAATATTTAGAGTAAATAAAATTTGTTTTAAAAAAAAAAGAAATCTAGCCTCCCTTGCCTTCAAATCCAAGACATTCCTTGAAAATCCAAAAAAATTATAAGGAAGACAACTTTGACTTATAGAGCAAAAAGTTAAGTTATGGAACACTTCTTAAGCATAAAAATGAAAAGAAAAGAAAAACATTTTTGATGCTATACTGTGTGGGCTGGTCATAACGATGAACTTTCCGAAAACTCAAAAAGTTCCGTTCACCGTCACTGAATAGTTGTTGGATATTTTGGAATAATAATGAGATAGGAAAAACTATGGGCACTAGTTTGGATAAAACTTGGTCTAAAAATCAGTTGTAAATAGCAGATGAGACACTAAGAGTCGCCAGGAAAATTGTTTTGTTAAATTTTGGAAAATTACGAACTATAGAATTTATAAACTTTGCCTACATTTCAATAATATACTTGCACCTTGAACGCAACGTTTCATGAATAAAGAATAACAAAATGGCTTTAAAATTGCAATGAATTTTAGAATAATATGTTTCATCTAAGAAAACATGCTCACTCAAATTAGTCTGACTAGGAATTCCAGCCTCTTGAGGTTGAAACAGATGAGCTGAATGGAAAAATTTTTAAATGTAAATTTTTTTAGATATACTGCTATTAATAATGCAAGTTTCAAACTAACCAGCTTTCATTTAAGTCATATTTTTTGTAAAATCTTTCCTTTATAAAGTAAGCCATTGATCAGGATAAAAATTTAAAAGTCTGATTAAAGTAGATTCTATAGGGAAAAAACTTTTGCATTTAGCTTAGTTGTAGTATTTATTCTTGGTCATATCACTTGCGGGTGGACAATTGCGTTCTGTGCTGAAATTTCAGGGTCTAGGACAAAGCTGTAGAAGCAAAACCATTAGGTAGAGGAGAGGAAACTGAGGTGAGATTCTACACTAATGAGAATAGCGCAGGGGAATTACGTTTAATGAAGATTCGAATTCTGAGAAGAGTCAAACTAAATAAATACAGAGTATTGTAAAGGTTCATTAATAAGATGAGCAAGAAAATAATCAAATCAATTTAAGGTATTGAGGTATATTGGGATTGATCCTGTAAAATTGGTGTCAGAAAAACTTGCTGACAGACACTAAATGGAGGATAGTCTTTGACCTAACTTGAGGCTTTACAATCACTTTATTTGAAAAACTAATTTGAGAAAATGTATGGGAGTTGAGAACTTTCAGACCTCAAATTTTGCTACCATTTAGACAGATTTCTAGGATATTTCTTACTTCAATTAAAATAAACCATTGTTGAAATTCCATTTTTGGGGAGAGGAAGATTGATGGGCCATGGGCAGTTATAACTCTCCGTATGGGAGCCTTCGATGTCAATTGAATACAGCCAAACAATTTTAGAAAAGCTTTTGAAAAGATAAAAAGATTTTTCTATAGAAGAAAAGAACTATTATAGAACAAAACGCGATTCAAAGCTCTATTCAAAGTCACTATTCCAAAAGGTTCATATTTTAAAAAAGAAAAAGAAAAAATTAATTCAGGGGGAAACTATTTTAGTGTAGATGAGGTGAGTAATGGATCAAACTAAAGTTTTAGAACCAACTTTAGAGTATCAGAAGGGGAAGGAGGAAATGTGATTGACTAGAATACTTTGCAGCAGCTGTCAATGAATCTGTACAAGAAAGAATGTGCTGAAGAAAAGGGAAAAGGGGGTGGGAAAGGGGGGGGGGTATCTTTGCGAGGAAACTTCCCAGCAAAAAAATACATACTGAGAGGAGAGGTGGAAGAGTCCTCACCTCTGATGAAAAGAAAGCCAATAAATATTATGCACACCCTTACGACCGATGCATCTTAACATGCTTTCCATTTTTCAAACATGCTAGTGCAGGTAAATACATCTTCCAATATACTAGCACTGATATTATTCAGTGGTCAGATAGTATGGAATATTAATTTAAATTTTGTCTATTCATTGAAATATTTAACTACTGTTCGTTCTGAACCTGCAAATATATTATTATTGATTTGTTCAATACTTGTGCATACTTTTTATCATCATATATTACAGCTCCTCGAAGAGCTGGGATTTTACAGTCGTGGGCCTCATTAAATCACCATGAACCTAACATTGGATGTCTTCCCCTCTGTTAGGATAAGTCACAACAACTCTACAAGACAAAAATTTTACGTAAAAATTATCCTCCACTATTTGAATGTAATAATTTTTCTGAAAGGGTTCTACATAAGGAGCCTCAGTAAGGGGAAAAACAAAAAATGTGTCACCTGTATTATTTTTCAAAAGCGATGAAATTGTTAGAATATAAAGTAAAGCGTCAATAATGAATGACACGATTCGAGATTTCACCTGAAATGAGATTTTTATGAGCATCAAATTTACACTTTGGCTGGAGAAAAAAAGAAATAAAGAAAAAATTTAATAAAAAATTCGGAAACAAGAAAATCCACTCTCCTCGATCTGTCACAGCTGTTGAAGGAGCGACAAATCAGACGAAACATTTGAGCAGATCGAATTATTGAGTTCCGTTATCATTAAACTTCCACATAAAGTGCACAACAATCGTATACATTCAGTTAAATATTAAAATAATGAAGCTATGAATAATATGAAAAAAGAAAAAGATCTCTACCTGATCATTGCTAGGCGATCGACATCGTTCATTTTCGGAAGTAAAATCACAGCTGCTGGGATTGGCACACTTGGGAGAGCGGGGCACTCTCATGTAGGGATCACAAGCACCATATAAATCAGGAGTACCAACATTGAGCACGCAAACTTTTTGCACTATATCGATCACAGCTATTCCATTCTCATTTCCATATGCCATTCTGAAATAGAAGATAATTCTCTTACATCATTGAAATTAGAGGGAACAACTTCTGTTTCTCAAAGCATTAAATTGAAAGAAGTGCAGTATCCAAAATTCAGACTCCAACTCATGAGCATATAAATAGGAGATTTGGTACAAGATATAGGTATGAAATCAAATCACACATCGGCTTGGAGGTGAACAATACTTAACAAATTATGTGTGAACAAAGTGGTTTTTCAACCATTAACTGACCATGTCTGGGAGTCTCAATGAAATTTTCATACATTCGGTTGAACGCTCTGGTCATACATCAATATTTTTGGCAAAATCCAGAATTTGCGTTGTCAACATGAACCTGAAATGACACAACAACCAGTCCAACAGTATTTGAAGGGCAGCTAAATATAGCTGGAAATAAATTGGCTGTGATGTCATTCCAGTTTATATTGACTGCGTCGCCTCGAGATATTGACGAAAATGTTGATAATGACCAGGACCGGTGAATTTTGAGGAGATAGAATACACTGATGATTGATAATGAAATAACTTTTTCAGTTTCAGTTCTGAATTTGGAAATCTCATTTGTTGTTGTGATACTATTTTCGACTTGAGAGAACAGTATTTTATAGCAAGTCAGGAGCAAATTTTTATTTCAAGACTGTTTCTGTAAGGCTAGGGAGGTTATACTGTGAGTTGTTCCCCTCTATTCCTGGGTTGATGTTGGATTCAGTTAGGTTCTTAACTCTTAGCAGCCAAATATGGAGTCACCTTCCAATTTTATGGAGTCACCTTTCTTGTATCTATGCTCACATTTGAACACTTTAGACACACACACAGCAAGCAAAGCAAATCTGTCGATGGTGAGTCGACATTTAAGTGCAAAATAAATACTGCAACAATTTGCCACCGGCAATCTCTGGCAGACAGAAAATAATAAAGGATCTCCAATAGATGAGGAACATCCCTACAAAGTGTAGCGAGTCATTCAAATACTTTCTTTTGTCAACTCCAGGTTGACACTTAAGCGTACCCTGGAAGGCGATTCTGTCGATTGAAAGTTGAAAATTGAGGGTAAAGGGTTCAAAAATTTCCTGAGAGATTTGGCGTTAGCTCATTACATAACATCACACATCTGTTGGTGTTCATTACTTCACTGTCACTTATGAAAATCGTGTCAGCTCATTACGTAAAGTCACACAATTGTTGATGTTCATTATTTCACCGTCACTTAAGAAGATCTATCTTACATTTAATCTGAACTGTTTGTGTTCCCCGATCTTAAGTTGCAACTAGATCAAAAAAACTTCATCTAACCTTACATTGTTGATTTTCAGTTAAATTTGAATATTACTTTTGTGTTGCTGAGTGTATGGTTTTACACTCAGCTATGCTGTTTAATCTCTTCTTGTTTTCCCAATCTTTTGCAGACAAGGGGTTCTTTGTTCTAGCACTGCCTGTGTAATTGGCGAGATTTATAATACAGCTGCAAAACTGATCATGATGGATGAACCATGGACACGGTCAAGATGCAAATCCAATTCAAGCAATTTCTGTTCGATCATAAAACCTGCTTTGTTTAGCATGCTAACAGACAACAGCACTTAGATGCAACTCACAAGCCGTAGGAGGAGTTGATTGACAGAGCAGTAATTTGAACAGGTTTCTTGCCAGCAACCACTGGGGTAAGACAAACTAGAAAAGGTTGAAAACCAGGCGGTTTCTTCTGCACGCCACTGCGCACTTTAACTGGAAGACCATAATCTGCTCCAGGCTTAGGAAAATGCAAAGAAAAAATGCCATTAAACTTGAGGAACTCTGTACAAGGTACCTACTCACTTCACTGACTCGCCAACATTGATAATGACCAAATTACTTCAGGTAGGTTGAATCTAAGATGACAGATAATTATAGGATTGAATACTTCAAGAATTCAGCTTAACACTGAATAAAACCTTCTAACGGACATACTGTTCTTTGCAGCATTCAAAATTCAAGGTCATAATTCTACCTTGCCTTGGTGGCCAAATTTTGCCTCATTATGGGGTTAAATGGAATTATTAATACTCTTTAAGCGGACATAGGACTGTCTCATCCTTGGTATAAATCATACCCTGACAGTGGTAAAACTCATTTTCAATGAATATGTCCTTTTCATTTTCTGCACAGGGGCAGATTTACCAACTTCTGTGCAGTTGTACTGCCCACAAGAAAACATCAGTCAATTTGCTATGATGTAAACTTTAATTAATGTAAATTTTAATTTTGCAGGATATACTTGCAGGACAGGAAGTACACTAGCTGATTTGCATGCCCTGAGCAGTGCTTCCACAGTTTACAAGACTTCTCTACATACAAAGGCTGTTCAAAAAGTACGTAGACTGAAGCTGTAACTTAAAAACCAATGTATGAGGATACCTGTTCTTGGTCTCATTTTAAAGATCAACTCATTGTCTATCGATTGAGACCAAGATCAACTCATTTGGTCAAAAATTGAGGAAGTTATGCAAGTTTAAACTTTGAAAGTAGGTTTTACCCCTACGGTTTTTATTGAAAATTTTCGCTTGCCAAACGATTGAAATGTCCATGATTTGTGATATGTGTCGAACAGATAAATTTCTATCTTCCCGAACAATTACACTGACCGTATTAATGTTTTCAGCAGTTAAAGACGTCAAAGGCCGACCAGACTTTGGGAGAACTTCAGCAGACTTCTGACCGTCTTTTAACTTTTTATCCCAACGGAATATTGCGGCCCGACACAAACACACATCTCCGTACGCGTCTTTCATCTCATTCAGCGTGTCCGTTGCTGATAATCCGCGTCGAACACAATAACGAATGACAAAGTGTTGTTCTTTTTCAACTTCCTTATCTTTTTCCATATCGACCGCACAAAAATTAGAGCAAAATGCAACAAAAATCACTAAGAGACTGCGATAAACCCGCGTGCACCTGTGAGGAAACTTCCCGAGTTTGCGGGGTAAGTCTAGCCGATCGGGCTTCTTGCCCATTGGACCCGAATGTACCCTAGTCGGTCGACGATTACGGAAAAGTGTTTACACAGTGTGCTATTTATGGTTGCCAAGTGTTTCAGGTAAAATGATGTATCAAAACGTATTTCAAGTGACAACTTTTGGCAAGCGAAAATTTTCAATAAAAACCGTAGGGGTAACACCTACTTTCAAAGTTTAAACTTGCATAACTTTTTCAATTTTTGACCAAATGAGTTGATCTTGGTCTCAATCGATAGATAATGAGTTGATCTTTAAAATGAAACCAAGAACAGCTATCTACATACATTGGTTTTTAAGTTACAGCTTCAGTCTACGTACTTTTTGAACAGCCTTTGTAGATATGTGTTTTATGCATGCATAAAATAATTTCATTGGGACATCCATAAAAATTTACCTTTTTTACATCATTTTCAGAGGAGTTCGGTCGAGGCGTAAAATCAAATTCAGGAGATAATTCCGTATCCCCCTCTATAGTATCACTGTAAACTATTGGAATTTCGAGCACCTGCAACGAACAAAATGCCAAATTTGAATATTTACAGATTGATGGAAAGCTAATTGTACACTCATACCAATGCTGTTTGAATATTTTCTCTGGAGTTCATAGTTCATAGTTCATAGTGAAAAAAAATATCAGACGCACTTAGATAAAAATACACATTTGAGAAGAATTTTGAGGAAAGGCGTGTCCACAGATTCAATAGAATATAATACAATTTTTTCTTAAAAGCTGCTCAGTAGACAGATCCTTCCAGCTTGATGATGCCTAATGGTCATTGGTTGTCGCATAAGAGGTGGCATCTTGCTGTTTAATATTATGGCTACTATTTATTGATGCATGGAAGAGGTGTTCTTTTATGTCTTAGTTATGAAGGAAAATGCAAACGTTTTTGGGGGAAAGGGACCTAACAAGATAGATAGTTCCTGTGCTCCTGCAATAGATGTTAAACGTGGAACTTCTGGTTACAAAAATCATACAGTGAAATCGCGATAACTCGGTTTGCATCGAGACCGAGGGGTTGTATTGAGTTAAGCAGGTTTCCGAACTAAAAGGGCTTTCTCATTTTCCAACACACATTTCCAAACTCCATACCCTAATTTTGACCAACGCAAACGCGCGTATGAAGTAACTTCTAGCGGTGTTTCAGGAGGCCGTTGACTTTTTTAACAGTGTGTTCGGCGAATGATAAATGAAAACAAGCAATTTTGGCAGGTTACCGGCTTAGGCTGGTACCAAATTGGCGTTGTTTCACTGTGCCACTATGCAGAGATGTCAAACCCGGTAAAAAGGGTTTCAAAATTATGACAGATTTGCTTCTCCTTTCAAAAAAAAATTATGAAGCATTTGTGGTTAGTTCATGTAAAGATGCAAGCTAAAAGAAAATACTTACACATGTTTCCGATATAGATTCTAATTTTCTAAATTTAAATAACATAACATAGGAAGATGCACCAGCAATACAAAGTTTTCTGCTTTCCGGACATAAAGAAATGAGTTGTACAGCATACGGTTCATCATCTGAGCCATCCATACTTCTCGAATGATTTTTTTCAAATACTTTAGCTGTTTTTAGTTTGTACAACACTTGTAAAGAGCCGGCACTTGCATCCCAGAATTTTACACTTCCATCGGCATGCCTGGAGAAACAAGAAATGCATTAGAAGGGCAAGATTCATTTGAAACAAAGATCCATTTCAACAAGCTTCTTTAGAGGCACTTTCAATTGAAATTTCATCAATTACTTTTTCTCGGCAAACCATGGTTGAAAATTCTGTGAAACAGAGTATTCAAAAGATGTTTCATCGCACATCAACGGATAAAAACAGGAAAAAATATCTCAGCCTCTTACATTTACATCCTCTGTTCTTATTATCAATATTCTTAAACAAGTTCTGGCTTACTTAAACAGTTAATTTTAGATCAGCCTAGTTTACCTTCAGACAATCGGATCTGCCCAGGTTGATCAAAATCGGCCCACATTAAATGCTATTAGCCCAAGACAACGTGGGTTTGATCAAAACAGCCCAGACAGATTTGCTTTTCCCGGCTGACTGATATTTGTCTGGGTAGATCAAAGTTGGTCCGTAACAGACACAATATTCAATAATTTGACATATTTGTCCCTCTTGAAAGTGCTGCAAAGTGAATGAGATCAAACTAGGCCATTTGTATTGGGTACAATCATTTAAGATAACGAATGTAGAAAGACACAGCCATTAGATTAGTCTGTTGTACTAAAAAATGACAAGCTACCTTGCGATTCATCCCAGTTTTACATCCAGCTACTTGATGAACACATAGCACTGATTTGATGAAGATTATTTGATCACCCTAATTTGAATTCATTTCTATTTATTCTTCTTTGTCCTAATATTCCAGCAAAATTTTTTTGAGATGGAGAAAAGAATAAATTCTTTAGCTGTATCTCATTTTCTATAGATTCCATACTTTTTTTATCACAACTTTTTGAAAGAGAGCCTTACCCAGTTAGGATAATTTCATTATAACTACAGGAAGTAGGACTCCACTCTCCACCACTGAGAGGCCAATCTTTTTCGCTAAACCCTGTTCTTCGCTGACTACCTCTTGATCCAACGCAGTAAAACGCTGGAATAAGGTCAGATGGACAGTCGGCGAAATAACTGCAACATGTTACTGGAGATTCATGGAGATCCATTGGATATGGATTTTCAAATAAAGGGAAACCAGGGGTAAGGAGGTCAAGAACTACTAGGTCATTTTGAAGCACCACTACGACAGCATAAGGACTCGGAGCATCTGCAAGATAAAAAAAAATGTATATAACGCTTTATTAGGACCAGGCATGAGACAAAATAAGTGGATATGAAAATTATCCTTGCAGTTTCAGAAATAGGTAATAGCTGATGTAGCCGTTTGAGGAGAAAAGCAATTGACTGATGAGCTGATTTCAATTCAATTTATCTGGCCTCTTTGTATACATAATTCACAAAAACAGTTTTGGATTTTTTTAAAACTGGAAATAAAAAAAGTCACATAACCACCTACTGAAGTTTAACCTTGTGTTGGGTGGTGTCTGCCATATCAAGTCAAAATATTTGATCAACATTTTCATTGATTTACTAATTTAAACAATTGAAAATATCTTTGAGAATTAGACAAAAGGAGAAATGAGAAGAGCCTGAAGCGCCATCTCAGCGATCGATAATTTTGCCTATTAAAGTCACATGGCAGGGAAAATACTTCCAAGATGCTAGGTTTTTTCCAAAACCTGACACTTAACACTCATGGTCTAATTTTTTCAAAATATTCGCTGTAGCTCCATACTTTTCCTAAATATTTTCTCGATATTTTCCCAGAGTCTCTCAAGCTTCTGGAAGTAAATTATCATTTTTGGAACAAACACTTACTTCATGTTACTTGCCATGCCTCCCATTTGATCAGATCCAAGAATGAAAAGATGTAACATTTTTTTCCTCTTATACTCTTTCCCATGAGACGTCTGCAATACATTTATACTGCTATATGAGATAAAAAGTTACGTTACTTGTTTGACTGATAATGAAAATAGATAAATGAATTGCTTACCAAAATTCCAAGGGTTTTCACAAAGGGTGACAAAATCTACTACATTGTGTTCCATTTCTAAGACAGTAATGTTTTTACCCTGCATCACAGTAATGCTTGGTGAGCGACCTGCAGTATCGTGAGGTAAGCCACCTGAGAATATCACAAAAGCATCTCTGAAAAAAGAAAATAAAAAGAACAAATTATCCCATGACACCTTTAGAACCACGATCATTTCAGCAGATTATAAGCCAACTTCTTACATTGATTAAAAATCAATTTTTTGGGCTGCTAGAGATGTAGCTCTGCATAGGCCTGCATTGAAATTAACAAGCAATCAATGGGAATTCTTTGTCACTTGAAAAAAAGAGCACAAATTATGTTATGTTTCAAAACACAATGCCAAGTTTTACAAAGAAATCAAATGAAGTGTGTGGGGCTATTTGTAGATCATTCTGATTTTGGTCTTTAATGATAGACCTCTAACAAATCCATTGATTTCCTACACTTTCATAAAATTCAAACCATGAAGTAGTCTCATTGTTTCGAAAAGACCAGCGGTGTAGAGAAATGAACTTAACAGTGCAATGCCAATCTACTGAAAGTAGGAACTTAAATAAAAAAATAAAACTTCTCAAGAGAGCAACTTATCCTCAGTTGGATAAAACGTTCTCTGATACACTGCTTTGGGATCAAATTTTTTAGAGCACCGAAAATGAGTGGACGAAATTAAAGTAACTCTTACTCAAAATTACGTTCTTTAGGATACAAATTCAAACCGCTCTAGGTTGGTTCACTTGGGACGTTTTTGAGCATTTTTTGTGAGAAAATATTTAAATAACATTCTGTGAAGCATTAGGTGCCAATATTTTAATATTGATCTTCTCAGTCTGCCTGAGGTCAATTCTCGCGAGGGATATCTTATTGAACTTGAAAAGTCATTGTAAAAGTTGAGTCCTCAAAATTGTAGACAGCATTGTGCCCTCATTTAAGATCTGAAACATTTCACTTCAATTTTAATTTTTTGTTCAGCTACATATTCAGTTGTAATTAATCTTGCAGCTAGTACTAATCATTTGTAATCAAAATGCATTCAGAGCAGGGTTAGTAACACTGTACAATACACAGCTGTACTCGTTGCCTATGAGAATGAAGAGGCCATAACTTTGTTCCTGTGACGTCAGGCTAGTAGATGAAACTCGGCCGCGGTTTATCATGTGTTCTTATGGGAGTACGCTTGATGCGTGTTTCTTTCGTGCCGATATCTTCTCGGGGGTTGATCTTATGCAAAAATTCATACGAACCTTTTCGAAAGAGGATGAAATTTCACTTCAGAAAACTAACTAACCCATATGTGTCATTGTCTAATAACTGAGGAAATGATAGCTTAGTACCAAAAATTGTTACTCCTCTCAGATTCAAATGCCCTGCTCACGCAACTTTGGCCGATCAAGGACCACTCTGATTGGTCCACGCAGAGACTGCCTCACTCATCGATTTACCGATGACCTGGAGATGCTTGTTGTTTTCAGCAAATAGCTTGACGTCACAAAACTGACTAGTTACGGCCTCGCCATTCTAGTGGGCAACCTTGTACTATCCCAAAAGTTGGAAAAAGCACTTTCGAAAATTGTTAGCGAGAGGAATTAGAGATCCAGTACATGTCCTCTTTTGAGGCTCTTAGAGGTACGACAGAATTTGAAAAACATCAGAATATAGAAGAAATCGAAAATAAAAATCAGAAAATGCTTCTGAATCAGAGATACTTACCCTGATCTGAGATGTCTCCATTCTACTTTATTAATTGGTTTACAAGTTTCTAATTTCCCATCTTTATTTGTTTTGGCTGTTGGAAAAAAAAAATTCAAATTAGATAGGTGATGTAACAAATTGACTCCAACTGATAGGAGCTAAAAAATGAATCCATAAAAAGAACATCATTATTCATTATTTGAAGTGTCATTTTGAGTGGACATCTTTAATGAAAATTTGTCATTTTAGTTACCGAGTTGGTGTGTTTTCATTCTCACTGCGTCAATTGTGCCTGAAAATTAGCTCACTTCATTGTAGGTTCCTCATTTAAAAAAAAAAAAAAAAAACCCCTCCGCATTGATTCACATTGATTTTTCAATGTGCAATGGAGATTTATTTTTAGTGGCTCATAGAGGTAAAATTCACTGGAAAATTAGCTGATAGGATTCTAATAATTTTGACATATTTTATAAAGTTTTGCTTGCACACAGCCTTGCAAAAATTGCATAAAGTAAAAACTTTCTCGAGATGAATTCCTCTCTAAATCACATTGAAAATTTAGGCATATTATATACATACCATGGGGAAGGTTGATGGAGTTTGGTTTATCCAAATATCGCGTACTCCAATAAGTAAGGGAACCGTCGGTATGACTACACACAAACTGCTTCCCATCATAGTGCCAAGATATTGATGTCAGCGGTTCTGGTGTCTGCCAACGGTGCTCTGCTTTTTTCAGACACAAGTCCCACAACACTAACTGACCAGTTTCAAAACCTATCAATAACTAGAAAAAAAAATGACAGACATAAGTAAAAAAAAGTCTTTGGCACTAGTGTAAGACACGCTATTTTGAATGGTTACACATTTCCCCCCATTTTTTATTCTTTTCCTTCTTCACTCTCATTCATGGTCTCTTTTGAGCATACCAGCAATATCGTGGGAATACCTTCAGCCTTCAGAGTGTTGCTTCCAATAACTAATGCAGAAATGTCTACAGAAGGGATGCATAGCATAAGTAGAACCCCTACTAAATTGATGTACCAGTGTTTTAGAAACTTAAAAAAAAATACTTTTACTCTAATTACTTTTCAAATGCTTTTTATCCATCCACCAATATTGAAACAACAACATTCATGATGTTTACACTGAATAGGGGTGGCGCAGGTATTCCCAAAAAATTCTGTGAAAAGTAAATATGGTCCATGAAGAATTTCTGTTAACTTAAAAAACATGACGGAACAACTCAATAATTATAAGCAATTTGTCTTGTTTTGCCTGAATAATCCTTTTTCTTAATATATCAACATAACATCCCTGCTAGTCATTCAATGAACGCCATAACTTAAGTTCCCCGAAAACGCTGGTTACAATTCTTCGGCTCTGCATTCTGACTATGCGTTCAAATCCACTGATTTTTCAATAATTTTTTAAGTCTGAAAATTTAGCGGCAAAAAAAGACAAAAAACGGGGTTAGTACAAAATGCATCTTTGAAAGAATATGGTACCTGCTTGGTTTTTCTTACCTTGCTATGATCCAAGGGATTTTCACATAAATGAACAACAGCACCAGGATGTGTTTTTCTGCATCTAAATCATAAGAGGATACGCCAATTATATTCTGCTCAGTGCATGATTATAAGAGATAAATAGAAATACATTTTATATAGTCGCTAGTAAAAAAATTCTTCATGCCTAAACTCACTTTGCGCTACAACCGACAGCATGTTCCGCACTGCGCCTTTGGCTACCAAATCTCAACTTCTGTAATTTGGTGGCCTATGCTGCTACAAAAAAAAAAAAAAAAAAAAAAAAAAAAAAAACCTAGTTTCTACTACACTGCACTAGTATTTGTTTCTTCATTTATAATCCAAGAAATTCCGGCTTGATGAAATATTCGATTTCAATTGAAGCTAACTGCAGCTAATATTTTTACTTTAATTGAAGATGGAATATCTGGATATGTAAAAAAAGACTGTTTAAATAATTTGATGTATCAAACCTCTTGAGAAATAAAAGTGCATACATATTGATTTGAAAGAGGATTTTTTAGATTGTTAATAGAGAATGGATTTTTATTCCTAGCTGAGAAAAAATCTAAGAGAAAAATTAGGAAAATACTCACAGTTCAATGGCTTTGTTCCAGTTGATAATGTAGCCAGAAATAACAAAAGTTTCTATGTTTACATAATAGACATTGCCATTTTTTGTCCCCACATATAACCATTTACTTTGCAGGGGTAAATAAATACATGTAATTCTGGAAAAAAAGAATGCACAGCGATAAGGAACAAAAATGAAACACGACAACAACGAAAATGACAACATATACAGGGAGCCTGGTCAATGGTCATACCAGAACTTTCTTAAGGTGAAAACTAGCTTACAGCCGTTGACAAACTATTGCTCAGAGGATTTTCTGTGATAAATACATTTCAAAGGAGCAGCTCCTTGAGCCTATTGTTATCAGAAACATTTTTCAACCCTTTAATATTCTCTGATGACCAGCTGCCACTGTATTCATAAAACCAATAGGTGAAAAATGCATGCATTTATCTGGAGCAAAATTTCTGGTAAAATCAATGGAAAATGAAGGCATATCCGATAGAAATACTCAATTTAACAATATATTTGACACATTAACTTGTACATGGATTTGCTTGCGACGCTAAAATGAAGATAGGAGTTCTTGGTTACACTCTGAAAAAGCATTGACTTATATTGCTGGAACTCCAAATGGATCCATAAGAGTAAACCGGCATACTTACTCTTCTTTTTGAAATTTAACACTTTGAACAATTTCAGGTTTTTTCTGGCGAAAGTTCCACAGGTGAACACTATTATCTGTGGTGGCTGTTACAAGAGCACCTTCATTAATTAGAAATTGAATCTGTATCACAGCTACATTGTCTTCGTGTTTTACGTGCGAGTCAACGCCTGGCCTCCCCAATCTGTATTAATTCTGAGTTAAGGTTCCAACTTCGCAAAAATCAAAATGCATAGAACAAAGATTAAAAAGATTATACTGAAGTATAGAACAGGAAAAGTAGGTGGAAAGAGATGAAAGAAGAAATATTTAGACTTCGTTTGGAGGTAAATGAAGAAAAAACTCTTGAAAATTTCAAGAAAAATTAAACATGAAGTTTAACAACAATCATCCAAAGCCCTAAAATTTAAGGAGGGGAAGGGTAGACTGCCCTAGATATTTAGGGTTTTGGTGATCCTTAAGTGCACTTAAAGGAAGATTGTGTCAGATTCTTTTAAATTTAACACAGTTTCTTGGAAAAAGGATCAATTCAAGAGCATCAGAAAGATACCAAGTTGCATCACAATTGAGCCAAGAAAAAAAGGTTTGAGATTTTATTCCTCCATTGGACTCAATGTTAGAGAAAAAGTCAGACATCGATTTTTATTTAAAATAATAATTTTTCTTCAGAGAACATGTGCAGGTAGCTGCACAAAACTACTCCTGGCCCATTTTTCTCCCCAAGACTTGATTTTCAATTATATTAATATTTAATGTATTAAAAGTAAAATTTGGTATAATTTTTGTAATATTTTGGTAACTAAGTCCATAAGATGTGCTCGTTGAGCATCAATTGTGAGCCACCAAATTTTGTTCAAAATCTCTTATAGAAGAGGAGGAAGGATTCAGAAAAAATTATGAGCGAATACTTCCTTCTGTTAGTCTCATAATCTGAAGTCTGTGCATACCTCCGCGTGAGTAAAATTGAATTTTTAAAAATCATTTTTTTTATGAACGATGGTTTATTTAAAAAATTAAAATAATTTCAACTTCGTAAACTTCAATTAATCTTAATCCCTTTCTTTTTCGAGAGACCCATTCGCCGGAAAAGTACAGTGGCCTATATCCGTTTGGTTTATTCAGGATCAAGTGCAATACTGATCAGCATCAGCATCTCATTTTGGTCCTGTCTCTCTATCTGCCTCCCCCCCCCTCCCCCCGAAAAAATCGATATATGGGGGTCCAAGCGCGTGATATTAGACTTCCCTGGAGAAAGAGGTTGATGCGGAATTTCAAGGAGTAAAAAAGGAAATAAAAATATCCCCACAAATTATCATAGAGGACTACAGATCATGAAAACCAGATGCTTTCCACGGCTTAGGGGGTAACTGCCCCCCCCCCCCCCCGCTCCCCTCGGTTTATTCTCTCGTGGAGGTTTGACGGCATGGTTGCCAGGTCCATCTATTTTGCATCGTAATCGGACGTATTTCTATCAAACGGAACTACGTGCATTAAGACATGAGCCCTGAGACCCATAAGAATACACGCGTAACAGGGCTCACGTCATAATGCACATAGTTCCGTTTGATAGAAATACGTCCGATTTCGGGCTGGAGCACCGCAGATCGGCAGATCCGAAGCACATCTATTCAAATCGACGACAAGAAAATCGTTGAGCGAACACATGGACATTGCGATTCGGGAAGAGGGTTAGGTTAGGTAATCCCTGATGTGGGTCACGTAGACAGATGTGGGTGATTCCGGAGGAGAGACCGAGGGACTGAATGGTTACGAGCGCGGGTTCCCATTGGCTAGCGTGGGCCAGATGACGTCACGGCAGGACGGCGCGAATGCGATGAGAGCGAACGTTGGACGGCCCGCACTCTGATTAAAGAGGGAAACAGAAACAGCTCGACCCCCCTACCCTCCCCCCGGTACCCCGTCGACGCCTCACCTTGCCCCTCCTCTCATTATTGATCGGGCGCAGAAGCATGAAGAATGTGCCCGTTTGCCTATATGCAGGGAGCCCGGATCCCCCCTCCCCCCCTCCGCTGCTGCTCCTCTCTACAACCGCAATTTTCCACGAGATTTTTCACACGCTTCTTTGAGTCGCTAAACAAAACTAACTCGCAACGCAACGTACCCCCAGGGCCTGCAATCCCGCATCCGACACAACGGATAATCCGCCTCTTGTTCTCCTCTCGTCAGACTCGGGGAATTCGCTGTCTGCGAGTTGATCGATTTCGCTAATACGCCTGGATTATTCGCGGGTGCACGGAAGAATCAACTTCGGTCGGCTGAATCCCGTGTTCGCTCTCCGCTAACCGCCCGAATTAAACGGTCCGTCAAGCCGAAATTTCGGTTCGCGGAGCCGAATCTTGATCTTCAGCCTCCAGCCTCCAGCCGCCTGATTAATGTAATTGATAGACTCAGCGATAGACAAAGGGAAAATGCAGTGATTCTACTGGTGGAAGCGGGTAGTTGAAATGGACAAAGGATGCAACTAATATACTGACTGATGGCAACCCACGAGAAACTTTTTAGTTACCCAAGAGTGAGTCAGCCTGACGTCAGGCTATGTTTCATAAACTACCCTGAGTCAGACTGATGTCAGACTGATGTTAGCCTGAATCAGTCAGATTCAGGGTAGTTTATGAAACATAGCCTGACGTCAGGCTGACGCACTTTTACTAGGGTAGTCCATCATTTTTTCCGTTTGTCTGTAACAGCCACCTAGTTCAACCGACAGGATCTTTACATTTTCTCTTTATCTATTGCTTTGTATATAAATTGTAGTAATCAGCCCCGCAGCTCGGTTCAATTGGTAAGTTCGGTTGCAGGAACCGAAAATTTCGCTGTTCAATATCAATGTCGCTCAAAATATTCGGTTGCTCCAACTAAACTTTCGGTCGGTCTGAACGAATCTCGTCGGTTGGGTTTCGTTCGTACGTGCGGCTGCAAGAACCGAAAATGTCGCGTGCTCGATATCAATGTCGCTCGAAGTATTCAGTTTGTTGAACCGAACAATCGGTTTTATAAGCTCGACTTTCGAATCGCCAAACGAAACTTTCGGACCGTATAGACGAATTTATTCCTTAATTTAGGTTGAGTTCGTTAATTCGGTTGCATTGAGGAAGGTAAGAAATGGCCGCCAGAGGGATAATCGAAAGTCTGCTGTAAATAATTGAGACACTATGCTTAAGCTGAGCACGCGGAAAGGCTTAATTGAAATCCGAACATAATAGAATATTGAAGTCAATATAATAGGATGATCGGCCCCACTAAAATCCTCCAAAGTTTAAAAGGGGTATTCTGTATAATCGATTATAGGGCGCGACACATTTTCCAGCTTATAAATCTATGTCCATCCAGAATTGTTTCATTAGCAAAAACTTATGAAGAATACAGTAAAATCAGCTCACTGTCTTCTTATCAGATACCTGCCATGTTAGAGTTGCAGTTGTGTGCCAACTGACGCTGCGTTAAGAATCACAAATCACAGGAACTTTTGTGACTTTCGCGTCAAAAATTCACGCATAAATGGAGGTAATAAGCGGCTAATGGAAGCTCCGTTATTCAATTCAATTTATGGCATCAACAATCAATAAGATCATTCCGGCCATCCATAATTCCGACTTTATGTTGTGCTCTGTAGGTATTTTACATCGTAGAACTAATCATGAACCAATCATATTCTAATGTGAGTTCATGACATAGAACTGATGGGCGAAAAGAACTTAATAATATCGAGATTTTGGTGATGCTTCACCTTATCGTTCCTCTGCCTGGGCCTGTCCAATAAAAACCGAAAATCCTCGAAAGCTGAGGCACAGGCTCGTGGAACTTGAAAACATGCATCACATGGTGAATTTTTAGATCACAAGGGAAAAAGTATCAAAATGCATGCGAGCAAGGTTTGTCTTTTCGCGCAGCCTTGTGCAACGTTACACATTGATTTTTTTCTTCCAATTTGTAAGCCTTTAAAAGGACTCTGTTTCAAGAAAAAGTGATCTCGGGGCAAGGTTCTTTTCCTAAGAGCAATTTGAGTTGGTAGGCCGGCAGGCAGCAGAGCGGTCGCCAGATGCAACGCGACGCTACCTCATCGATGTCAACAAGGCGTTGGATACAACTATTTCACCTCTGGAGTTGTCCGCGTTGCGTGCAGATGAATTGAAGGCGTTTTAGTTTCTTCCGTTTCTTCGAGTGGTGCACAAAGTAAGTAGCTGACGAAGTGGCGAGGCTTTACGGGAAAGGCTATTATGTACCTAATGAAGCGTTTGAGAAGGAAAGAACCAGGAAGTATCTCCTTTTGAGAATCTGTTTTTCAATGCAACTTCTTTCCACATAAAATGACATCATGAGAATGCGTCAAAGTTAACTAGCCTCAAAGACAAATGTTAAAAACAACTCGTGGAGAAAAATTATTAACAACCTGTAAGTAGCTCGTTTTATACATGTTTTTCCTCCCAAAATGAAATCCATGTACAAATATTGTAAAAAGCCGCGAGCTCTTCATTCTAGAAGCTATCGAAAATTAAAAGCATAAAAGGCGCTAGTTTTTAAAGCTAGCAATAAAGGATGAGTAGCTCAGGTTTCACAGTACTTTGACATGCATATCACAGTTTTAAAGAGAAAAAAGAATAAAGTTACAGCATAAAATTATTCTCCACTGGTTTAACACAATTTTCCCTTGCTGATGCTTTACACTTCGACTTCAGTACGTTTCCGTAAATTGATAAGAAACAATTTGCTTGGAAAAACAGACTCTTTCCGCAGAAAAGTGAATACAGTTCCTGATAATTTTTGCAGCAAAACCTTCACTCGTTTCCTATTATCGAATTACCCTATGCTACAAAGGCTGACCAGATGCGTTGAGCGTCGTCCGAGGAAGCAAGAAAAACCGGAGCGCCTTCAATTCAAGCGCGCGCAACACGGACAGCCCTGGAGGTGAAATAGTTGTATTCAGCGCCTTAATGTGAAGTTTCACATTCGGATACGTCCGGCGGCTTGTTGAAAATTACGTCAGCATTGGAGGACATCGAAGATCGATGTATTACACGGCACGGATAGGGTTATGTCTTGTCTTATCTTGTCGACAAAACCAGATACAGTTTCAACTATCAGGCTGCAGACAGCTTTTCTTCTCGAAGCGAAAGCGCTTCTCTAAAAAGAGCCTTTTCCAAAGTGCTTTCTTCCGAAACTGAA